TATCTCAAGAGAAGCTTATAATTTATTTATGATATAATTTAATGTTTGTATTGTACCCCAAAGTACTTTCCGATATATTGAACCGTACCCAAGGTACCCTCCGATAATACCCTGGGGGACATACACCCTATCTCAAGAGAAGCTTATAATTTATTTATGATATAATTTAATGTTTGTAATGTATAATCATAGTATATTAGATCAAGGCGTTCACAGCCTTAATTGTCTGTCAGCACCAAAACAGCACTATTGCACTAGCTGATTAAATAGCTAGTGTATTTTAACAATTTTCCAGCTATGTAAATTGAGGAATGATTTCGTTTGGTTAGGCTACATGGAGAGGGTGTGGATACAGCCATGCCATATGAACGTCAGAGCAAAAGGTACTTGCCAGAAGCCAGTGTCAAATATGAAAATCAACATCGGTACGTAATGTAACACACAGACATGCATACATGATCAAAAAAAATGTTTAACCATGTAGTTGTTCTGTAGTAAATTGTCATAATTACATCTTGATTACATGTATCACGATCACTAATTGCTTATAATAATTATTTAATGATGAACTTATTATTTATTGTGGATATCCTGCACAAGGTACATAATTGAGCATTTATTCTATGTGAGTGTACCTAATTTGTCTCACAGGTTGGTTCATCTAGACTTAAAAGGGGCACCGCCAAAGATTTCTTACTATGAACAGGTATTAATTTTTACAAATTGTTTCAATCCTGTGACAGGTAACGTGTAATTAGCACACATCGACCTAAGGAATGATATAATGAGAGAAGTAATAAATTATGTAGAGTTAAAGTTTAATTGGAAGGTAATGTTCATGTAGCATAGGAAATATAAGTCACTAGCACACACGTGTTGTTATGACATAGAATATGAGTTTATAGGTCGAGAGAATGCAGCAGATGGTATGTGGACAATAGCACAAATTACTATTAGGGTTTATTGCCTTGCCTTTTCTGCTAAGTACCATACAAATAACGTTTACAAACGTTTACAAATAATCTATGCTAATATTAAGATTTAAGTGGCTGACAAAAATTAATTTTGGGGAATTTTAAACAGAATTTTTCTGTTAAAACTTGTGGTATCCATCGTTCTGTATGCACAGATGGTAGTGACTGACTGGATAAATAAATTCCTATATGATGAGAGAGAGATGAGAAACATGTCATAACATAGTATCAGGAGTAATGTAATATAGGATCCTATATTATCTTACTCCTGATAGTATCTGTATATATGCCTCTTTTTTCCGCCTTGCAGAGATCTGTAGCTCGTACGCACATATATGGCACATACATTGAGCTCATGTCAAACTGCTTAAATTTCAGCTGTTCCCTCTGCTGAGGGAGTTTGGTGCAACTGGCTTGCTAGTGGAGTGGGAGGATGTGTTTCCGTACTGGGGAGATTTGCAGCTGCTGGCTGCACCACATGCATATAGGTGTGTGTGTGTGTGTGCGTGCGTGCGTGCGTGCGTGCGCACGCGCGTGTGCATGTGTGTGTGTCACTTCCTTAGATCAGTCCTTTTGACATGTCTGCAGCTCTGCTAATTATGTTATTTAAATGGAGACCTTAATTCTGTTATCTTTCTGTATAAAAAAAAGGTCATAACTAACAATCAGACCCACTAGATGGTGGTCTGACTTGTTACAGTCTTCCACAGTCAAACAGGTCTGTGTTAGTGGACACATCTATCAAATGAACACCTGTCTATAAAGGACAATTTTAGTTGTTCCTTTCTGCAACACTTACACAGTAAAACGATCTCTATATTATAGGTATCTGTCTATAATTTTATAACACATGAGGTTTCCCTTGATTGATCCTTCTATACATTTTTGACTGCATTTATGCACCTCCAGTAAACTAGCATGCATTTCTGTTTTCCTATTTAATATGCAACTATTAAATATTTCTGGTATATATGTATCCTGGATGTAACTGGTGATGTATCATTTATTTTGTAGTAATGTAGAAGTAGCAAAGATGCTGCAACTTGCAGAAGACAACAAACTGGAAGTAATTCCTCTGGTGCAGACGTTTGGTCACTTTGAGGTGAGTTATCTACTCTACAACCTACATTCTGACCACCATAGGTTATCCAAAGTTTTGCTTAGTATTTCTAAAATACTAAAGTTAAAAGAAAAATGCGACATCTCATGTTCATATCTAATAATTTTGTAACTAACTCAACTGTTTATTGACTGATTTGTTTTTAGCTCATCTGACATAGTCAGATGCAGCTTGTAGAATCGCATGATTGTCCGTGCATGCGTCCGTCCGTCCGTCCGTCCATCCGTGCGTCCGTCAACAGTTGGGCACAAATCTAAACTGCTCAACGTACGGGCACGATATTTGGGACGTGGGGGGGTAATCCGAAAACGAGTTGGAATGTCGAAGCTGGGGGTCAAAGGTCAAGAGGTGTAAAAGAAGGGGGAACATTCCCTCCTTAACTTAAAGTATAGGAAGGAAATGCAGAATTGCGGCACAAATCTAAACGGCTCGACCTAGGCTCGTGATAGTTGGTGTATAGCATCATGGTAGGAAAAGCCATCACTGTGCCAAAATTGGAGGTCACAGGTCAATGGGGCACGGGGCAGATTTTAGACATTTTCTGAGGACATGGTCTGACGGAGCGATTGAAAAACTTTTTTGTTTCAGCAGTGACCTAGCATTTTTATGGCTTTATTGAAAAGACCATGAAATGTACTTTCTGCTGACATGCGAAGAGTAAGTGACGGATAACCTTTTGACCCTCAAGAGGAGGGTTAAACATGGATTTGTTGACTGTTAACAAAGGACTGAACTGCTTTTGCTATTGTGGATGTGAGGCTACACTTGCACAGTTCAATTGCAAAGGCAAATGTTTGTTGAACAAAGTTTACGCTCCTTAAATCATATTATTTTCTAAAGCAGTCTGTATTAGCACCCTGAGTAGCACCCTGTATTAGCACACTGTAATGAACCCTTAATGCTCACATGGGTAGGCAAAAACATGGGGGCAGCCCATTTCGCATGCATGGGGGTGAACTGGCACTATTCTAATCATAATTATTGCCTGGCAACCTGCAATGCAAATGTGTTAACTCACAGCTGAGCAAAATTCTCGCCTGCCTGAATATACTTGGATTTCAGCAACTCAATGGAGTGAGGTTATCACGCCCGAAGGGTGATGCTCTTTGCTTATTGAATGAAACTTGCAAGCGCCAGCTCCGCGGCAATGCTTTTGCTGATTAGAGACCCTTCACCCGCACCTCCCCCACTCTCCCCCCCACACCACTAAGTTGCGCTCGACGCATATCCATGATAACATGCTAATATAGCGAAGTCATTAAAGTTTACACAGCTGTATCTTTATTACTGAACTACCGGTATAGCAAAGCCTAGCTATCATGGATTTTAGATCTGTATTAGTAATATCCTAGATATATGCTCTGAGCGCGAACGCGGTGATGGGAGGGTGCTCTTCATTCGTTTGCCAGTGAGTTTAGCATCAGAACATCTGCCTTCAGTTGAGCGCTGTCGCTCTGCGGCACTTGTTTAAGAATGATGGGAGAAGAACCCTCTAAAAGAAGGGTAAAGGAGAATGAATAATTCATATATGTCCTAATGTTTTACAATTGAGCAACGCACGTAAATTGTTTAATGCGAGATAGTCGATAATGATTACTATCATGAATATATGTATAGACATATTATATACATATATATTATATTCATACGTTTATGTTGTGAGTGGAGCAATGGTGTTCTCTGGATTACACAACCATGCTGTGTATTGTAGTTTGTGTTAAAGCATGACAAATTCAGGCCACTTCGGGAAGTAGAGAGTTACCCTAATGCCCTCTGTCCATCCAGAACAGGTAGGTGCGAATTTGTCTAATTGTGTGATACCATCTGATAGGGTCCCATTATTATTGATTCTCCTATAATTTCTGTGTGTACTGTGATACACCAGTTTTACATTTTGAAAGGCACACATTAAACCATGTTTGTGATTTAAATGAAGTTTTATAGCTATGTTTTTAATAACCATGTTCATAATTTATCTGATATTTGTTTATAATTTCAAATTTTAGAGTCATTAAATGTTGTCAAGGCTATGATAAGCCAGCTTCTACAGCTTCACCCAAACTCAAAGTTTGTGCACATCGGTGCTGATGAGGTGAGATATGCGCATTATGTTGTCTGCTGTTCTTATATTATGTTAATTATCTGCTATTAATTATGAATATATATAGCTGCTTAATTAGCATCTGTTATGTAAGTTGCTCATCGTCACTAATTTATGTTTAATTAAATTGTGACTGTAACGTGTTAACGCACCAGATGTCAGTACTAAGGTACCAGATGTCAGGGGAAATGACTGCATGCATCTGCCTTGGTATACGTGAACTGCTGATGTTGTACTTCTGCCGAGGTTTTGACGCAAGTTCGTACGTAGGTGTGGCACTTGGGAAAATGCAGTAAATGCCAAGAGCGAATGCAGAGTGAATCCAAAACAAAGGAGCATCTTTTCCTGGATCATGTGAAATCTGTGGCAAACTATACACTCGGCAAACATCCTTCCGTCAAGGTTATCATGTGGGATGACATGTTCAGGTCTATGGATATAGATCTTATTAGAGGTGTGAATAATTTGAGGCTTGTATGCAGTATTTTATGTCAGCAAAAACTCATTTAGTGGCAGATCAGCCATGCCAATGCATTTGTAAGAAATACTGATATATATTACCTTGCAGAATCTAGACTTGAAAGTTTGGTTGAGCCAATGATATGGCACTACTTACCAGAATTCAGGATATCCTTGGGTATGTATATATATTTAAACTAATAAACATAATAAGTGGGCATCATCATCATATATAATGGTATATTTACTATTGAGTTATATATTGTGTCATTTTATTTATTTTATTTTATTTTATTGTGTTGTATTATATTGTAGTGTATGGTATTGTATTGTATTGTATTTATGTTTATTGTGATGTCGCTGTTTGTGCAATGTTTTTAATGTGCTAAAAATTCCAAGTTGAACTTGACTACTTGTGATATCCAGTGTCTGGATCCTAATTTCATAATCAGTATAATCTCCTATCCTATGCAATATCCCTCAATCTACATAAGATTAACTTCTGCCGTAATACAGCTTACCTAACTCGTTCTTAGCCCATTTGTGTTTTTTATTATTATAGATTTATTGGACAAGTATTCCAGTATTTTTCCATCTATCTGGGCTGCGTCTTCATTCAAAGGTGCTACTGGTCCCCGGCAGGTCATCACGAGTATAAACCACCATCTCTACAACCACCGCTCTTGGATCAAATTTCTCATTGGTGGCAAGCGACTGTCAAAGTTCAAGACATTCCGTGGTTATGCCATAACAGGCTGGCAAAGGTACTGGAGTATAGTACTATGTAATACATAATAATACTGAATAATATGTTTTTAATAACCTTTGCAGTTGTTTCATGAATACTATGTCGTTCATGAATGCTCATAACTGTAGACAGTCTTGTGATTATAGTATATACTGTGTTTGTTCTGAATGTTATGTTTCACGATAAAGGTATCTAGGTAGGAGCACAAGTTTCTAGAAAAGGTGGCAGCTAGGGGCAACTATTGGCCTATTAGTTGGGCTAATTATACTATTGCGGAGCTAAAATACTATTACCCATAGTATAGTACCCCTATACCCACAATCATTTAAAAACTTGTGATTCTATTGTGATGCTAGCGATGTATTATGAAATTGTGTATTATAGTGTTATAACACGTGTATGTTATCATTGACTCTATGTAATATTGGTAATTGATAATATTGGCATAATTGCTAGATTAGTACCGAAATTCGATGCACAAAGTCGTGCATAGCAAGTAAGCTAGTTGAGTAGACCGTGTTTAGATGCCTGGTGACCGATTTAATTATTTAAAACTGATGGAGATATCAGTAATGGCTTTCAGGCATATATACATGCGAAGACACATGCATAGTAGTAAGTGAACTAACATGGTGTTTTTGCCATTATTCAGTGAAATATCGGTAATACTGTAATAGTTATCCATATTTTACTTTGCCATCGATGCATTGCTATTGAGCCAAACACTATTGCAGTTAATTGGTAGTTCAGTGAATCCCTACGCTCCTATAATGATATCTAATAGTTATCATCCTTCCTGGCCAGATAGGCTCTTACCTGTACCTATAAAACATATTCATGATACACAAGGTTCACAGCAAACAAGCCTATTGCTTATAGCTATAGGTAGGATGTTGTGGGAAGGAGACTGTCAGTAGCTAGAGATAGGGGTGTGTAGAATGATGTTATATACATCAGTACATGCGCGTACAGGTGGGTGTGTGATTTAATGGACATCGGTAGTGATTGTATGATGCATCTTTACACATTCTGCTGTTTATAGATGGGTGCTATTACAGGTATGACCATTATGCCACCCTGTGTGAGTTACTACCAGAAGCTATCCCATCCTTGTTCGTCTGCCTCCAGACTCTGAAAAATGGTAGGTTATCTATCATATCAGTTTTTCGTAATTATGAGGATGAACATTTCTGTAAGCTCCAATAGTTAGTAAAGTGCTTATATAAATAGTAGTATATAGTAATTTCTGTGTGTCTTGTATTATTTGATCTTGTACTATTCTGTAGGTCAGTCTTGTCTGATTTCTCTTAGGTGAGTTCACCGATCAGATGCATTCTTCCATATCCCGAAAACTTGGATTCTCAGAACCTGTTGAACTAGAGGTCTATCCAAGGTAAACTCAGGTGTTCAATTTTTTTAGGGTATAACAAAAAACGCTTGAGACACGTGTGGTAAAAATGTATACCCTTCATCTAGCATTGATCACAATCTTAACCAGTTTTGACTACTATTTGGTTTATTGCAGGCCAAAACCTGTACCCAAAGCACTTAGTTTCCCAGGCCAAGAAATCTACAGAGGGTGCATGATGCTAGCCAACTACAAAGTGAACCTGCAGAGATTGTTGGAACATGATATGTAAATAGATTTATCTATATTAGATGGACGGACTTTTACTTAGAAAGAGATTAGTGTTGTCATCCTTCTTAATTAAAGGGAGATACGTAAATCTGATTTTCTTGTGATGCGAGTGGAGGCTGGCCTATAAGCATTAATTTTATTATTTATAATGACACTATTATTTTACTCATGCTCAGATGTCAGGACACTGATAGCAAACTTATGGTTTAGAAATAATTCTGTTAAAATCTGTGCATAAATATTTCTGTAGTAAATGGAAGAGTGGTGTTGATCAAGGGTAATGACTATATAGGTCTCTAATATATTTTGCACACATCTGTAAAAGCAAAATTAGCTCGGCAACATCATTTGATCGTTGGTAACGACGTATTCACAAAGTGAGCGTTCGCATAAGCTTCCAGGTACAGGTAACTAATACATGCAGGACTTCATATAATGTTTATTCATACCTAGTCCTGTTATGTCTATGAATAGTAATCGTTTTGCGTTACTCGACCATCCTTTCCTCTATTCATCTCTCAGCTTCAAGGGTTGGTATAGTGAGTATTTGGTGGCACATAACTATACAAACCCAGCCAGGCTAACAAAGATCAGTGCAACGATTAGGAAGTAAGTTTAAGATGCCAATGTCCAATGAACACTTGTCACGTGTTTTCTTTGACTGATACACTCCTCAGCTGCGTAGATCAGGTAGACTAGGTGTAACAGTGATGGTGTTGGTTCCTATATGCTGTGTGATACCTCGTAAATGTTACTGTTGTGTATCTGCGTGCACGCACGCACGTACGCACGCGCACACACACGCACAGGGGGGCGGGAACTAACAGGTCTAGAAAGCGATCCGCCGCGGTCCCCCCGGCTGGTGGCACGCCCTTGGCCCCCGGTGGCCACCCCCAGTTACACAGCCCTATAAGCTATATCATATTATATTAATATCAGAGGTAAGGATAATATAGCAGTCCTAGTACTCTCCGTCTATACTCCTGATACTATCAGGAGTGATGAGTAAGTAGGAATATTCTTCTCTATTATATTACTCCTCGATTAATATTATACCTGATTAATATCCTATCACATATACTAGGTGTTCTGGTCTTTGATATGACTTTTAGGTATCGGCTCGGGAAAGTGCCATCAAATTTAAAATTCTATACACATCTAAATTAACTCTTTTGTTAATTATGTGTATGTATATTGTCAGGGGCGGATCCACGGATTTTGAAGAAGGGGTGTCCAGGAGAAATAAAGGGGCAGCTTATTTGCCTGCTGTACTTTTTCTGGTGTTTTAAAAAGCTGCGAAGAGACACATAGGAGGGGGGGAGACCTATTCCCAATATTTTTTTTTTTAAATTGGCTGCATTCTGAGCAGCATCTGAGCAGTAGATTTTTGATTGTCTAAATGCAAAAATTTACCTCAGATGCATCCCCCGGACGCCTGCGATCCCTTTTTTGCCCATTCTAAGTTTTTATAAGTGAGATTTACATATATTACACTAAGCTACAATCTTATCAGAAAAAATCTAGGCTAAACAAATTTTTTTTATACGAGACGAATTAATAGAAAAGTGTGTGTCGTGGTTGTGTGTTGTGCGTGGAGCGTGCGGCACGCTGGGCGTTGGCGTGCGTGCGCGTGTGGTTAGTGCTTCTTTCGCGCATTTTTTGTGGCTAAAAGGGGGACTGTTTGACCGCCCCCCTCGACCCCCCTCTGGATCCGCCCCGGATAGTATGGTGGCATTTTTATGAAGCGAGAGCAATATCCAGAAATCGCATCAGCAGGGTACATCAGGGGCGGATTCAGACCGTATTTGCCGTATTGGGAAATACGGTCTAGATTTCAAAGTGCCTTTCGAAATTTTGCGCTAAAAAATACAGAAAACAATTGGGATGGGATTTGGCTATATTCTTTATTTGTTTTCTTTTTCTTCTGATTAATTGACAGGACTTGAAGGAAATCAAAATTTTACTTGGTAACAAAACTCGCTTTGATATCTGAAAAAGAAGGGAAGTGCTTGAATCATTCTGCATTAATTGCTGGTATGCAAAGCTCATGAACAATGAAGCAGAAATAAAATTCCATATGGTTTTTAGCTACTGCTGCTTGACTAAATGTGTGCTCAAATGGTGCTCATTTTTGTGGTCAGGGACCCTTGGAATGTTGAAATTTCCTTTCCCAGACCCCCTGCCATGTGCTTCCGCGCCTGACGGTGCCCACTGTGGGGTGGTGTGCCCTTTTTGGGGGATACGCCCTTAAAATCTGGAAAAATACTGTTTAGCTTCAGCCCTGGATCCGCCTCTGTATATATATATATATATATATGACAGGCGTTTCTCTTGGTGGGAGAATTTTAGCTGTTATATGTGAATATGCTACATGTGAATACCTGTGTCGTCTTAGCTGTTTTATTGTTTTTATGTTCGTCTAGTTACCAGGGCTGGTTCGGTGAGTGGCAGATGGGCCACAACTTCACTAATCCCCTGTGGGTAGAGGAGCTCCTTAGTGGACATATTAATAGGTTCGCCACTTGATGTTTAGATTGTATTCGCTTTGTACTGCTTACTAGCTCTAGTGCTGGCTGCAGTCACTGTCATATAAGCACCACACAGCTGGTGGTATTGTAATGTCTATAGTGCTATAGTGATAATACCACCAGTTTACTTTTTCCTTTGTTCATTTGTTTACGTGTTATATAAATCCATTATGACCGTGACTTTTGGAAGCTTGTAGGGGTTTCTCTTGGTTTATTCCAAATTGTTTCTATATCTATCTGCATTTATGAAATTTAGTCATGCATTTTGAGTGTAATGACAGTTACAATTCTGTAGTTAAATTTGTTGAAGTAAGACTAAATTGCTTAAAGATTATATTAATATTGTCAACAGTCTATACTCTATTGTAAATAATTTATTTTTTCCATATTCGTATTTGATACCAGTTCTATTATTCTTGGGTACACTGCATAATCATGACATATAAGAATTTAGTAATTCTCATCCTAGATATGTTGTTTATATGTATGTATATCAAGAGTAGATAATATAGAATGTTAACTATCTTCTATGTCATCATCTCTTGATGTATATATATTATATATCATCGTTATGTTAATTTTTTTTTTATTGATTTTACAGTCTTCGTGGAAACTTTATTTCTCTGAGGGACCAAATGCAGGTGGCGCTAGTGCAGGTGTACGATGAGTCAACAGTGGAGGAGTGGTTGGAGACACATCTACTGCCAGATTTTAGGAAGGTGGAAAAGATGGCGGAAACTGCTCTCATGCAGAGGCAGATTGGAGCCAGAGTAAAGGACTATCGGTTTGGAAAAAACAAGTGATATACTACAATGGGCTGCTCGGAGTTGTTATGATTGGGCCTGATGCATTGTAGTTTCTTTTTATCTCCTGTCATAGAAATTATGGCAAATAAGGGCAATTTTACAGAATAATAATATGTTAAATCTTACCCCGTTTTCGAAAGCTTCTTCATACAACTGTAGTACAGACTGTGATATGCCTAACCGTGGTGTGAATGGTACTATTAATAATTGAAGCCGCGTGGACGATTTGATATGTCCGATGGTCATGTATTGTAGATAGTTAACTTACTTTTAATAATTATTATTGTGATGTCTGTTGGTTTATTAGGCTAGATAGGCAAGGATACATTTGGAGACCAAAACACTACAGTCTACATTGGGTTAACCATATTGGATTCTCTTTCCAGCCTTTCCAACTCCAATTCCACCATGGGGCAGATGGAGTAAGGCACCTTCCTTGCCTTGCAGAATTTCGGAGTCACATTCTCCTCTTGTACAGTTCAGTACAGGTGTAGTCGGTCTACATTCCCCTTTAAATGTCCAACTTTGTCGGAGTACAGTTCCGGGAACTTTTCGATCAGATTGTCAACACGCCCTAGCATCGTTTCGTCTGCGCGTGACGTCACGTTCGTAATCGCGTGTACCTCCATGCCGAATATCTTGTTCCACGATAGTTTGATCTTTCCCAGCCACGACCTACCGAATAAGGGAGGCCCTCCCTTTTCTACAACGTATAGTTCGTCGTTCGCCTTATGACCATTGTAAGTAATGTGCACTTTGTACAAACCGAGGCACTTAATTCTCTCGCCTGAATGCGTTGCGAAATCGTCCTTAGCGTCGCCTAGCTTCGCGCCAGGGAAATACTTCATGAAATCTTGTTGCTTCATGCTGCTGTTTGAAGCCCCCGTGTTCCAGTTCCATGGAAACCTTAACATCGTTTAGATACGGGCGTACCCGGTAGGGCTTTGTTGATGAATTGACCTTATTTACTCGCATGTGCTGAATGCCGCTGTATTGTAAATCATCAGATTCTTCCGACTGTTGGTCAACATTGTGAACCTTTCGCTATTGTTGTTTTCTGCGATCGGTTTGTTAGGTTTTCTTCACCGTGCTGTTTTTCTTTTTGAAACGAGCTTTCTCAATGTGGCCCTCAACTGAACAAAAGTTACATTTCGTTTTTAGCTCATCTGACGTAGTCAGATGCAGCTTGTAGAATCGCATGATTGTCCGTGCATGTGTCTGCGCGTCCGTCCGTCTGTCTGTCAACAGTGGGGCACAAATCTTAACCGCTCGACATACGGTCACGATATTTGTGACGTGGGGGGGGGGATTGTGAAACGGACTCGGGATGATCAATTTGGGGGTCAAGGGTCAAAGGTCAAGATGTGTAAACGAAGGGGGAATATTTCCTCCTTAACTTAAGGTATATGAGGAAATACGGAATTGCGGCACAAATCTGAACGGCTTGATCTATGCTTTTAATATTTGGTGTATAGTGGGATGGGCAGGAAACCCATCACCAGTGTGAAATTGGAGGTCACAGGTCAAATGGCAGTGGGGGAAAGGTCAGATATCAGACATTTTCTGAGGACGTGGCCTAACGGACAGAGTGAACAACTTTTGTTTCAGCACTGGCCTACCATTTTTATCACTTTATTGAAAGGACCATGAAATGTGCTTTCCACTGACGTGTGAAGAGTAAGTGTCTGATAACCTTTTGACCCTCAAGAGGAGGGTTAAACATGGATTTGTTGACTGTTAACAAAGGACTGAACTGTGTTTGGTGGTACTTGTGTGATTGTGGAAGACTTAAATTTCACAGTGAAATTCTGCATGCAAAACTTACTTGAACAACGTTTACGCACCTTAAATCATATATGAACTTCATTCTCTATATGAGATTCTGTACGTTGGGAATACAATGTCAATAGCACTTACGCAAACGTCTGTTTTTGATTATGCCAACTATAAATAGGCCTGTATCGTAGTATTTGGACGCTCGTAGTATTTGGACGCTTCGTAGGTATGCTCTTTTGTTTTGCTCTTGTTTTCTTTTTGTTTGAATCTTGTTTTGCACGGCCGTAGGAAATAGTAGCCATGCTCTTTTGTTTTCTTTTTGTTTTGCCTTGTAACCTGACACACATAGCACAGTCTTACTAATTTACTACATATTGCAAATTGTTTCAATCAAATGTTTGTTTCCATCAGTGACCGGGAAGTCCGCCATGTTTGTTTATTGCGACCGTGTCGAAAGGCAAGATGCGCAGATGACTACTGCGCATGCGCAGCATGCGCTGTGTGCGCCCTTGCAAAACAAGAGGCGCCTGCGCGCATGCGCACTGAGGAGCGTCCAGTTTCGGGCGAGCGTCCAAATACTACGGTATATGCCTACCTCGCAGGTCCTTGAGGTGGGTGGCTGATAGCACAGCATTCGGATTATCTATTCCCTGCACCTAGTCAGTATGCACGCCATCTATCGGAACAGAGTGAGAAGAATGTCCCGGCAGGATAGGTCAAATGTATATTGCGCTCAAAAGTGCAGAAAGAATTACTTTCTTAACTTCAGTTTAACCAATCTTGAGATAAGTAATTGCAGAAATGAATCGTCAAACCTGCCAATGAAAATTTGCCAGTTTTGTACTGTCCTTGGCATGGCTCTCTCCGTCGACGTTACAGCAGTGTGCAATGTCGGGATATGGTGGAGCATGCTTGCTTGCGGACACTGCAGAGCCCGATGGTTGACTGTCAGTCGAAATGTGTTGATCCTCCCCGACATTGAAGAAATCTGTACGTTATACGTGCGTCTGCCTTACCTCTGCCCGCCATCTTCGTCGAAAGGTTGGACGCCGCGCGGCGAAATCGGAATGTACATTTCAATCGATGGTGTAACTGATACAGTAGCGCGCCGCGTGGGTGTTATTTGTTTATAAACAATTTAGTCTGACTGACTCTCTCCCTATCTCTCCTCTCGCCCGTTCTCTCTTCCTCTCTCTCGCTCTCTCTCTCTCTCTGCAATAAAAAAAATGTTTGCTGAAATGATGTGTAGCCCTACACAACTGCGTATCTGCATATCTGCGCCTAACAAAGGTGTCTCTACGCACGACTTAAATGTTACGTTTATACCCGTAGCAACAGACCTCAGATGAGCCCAGACGCTCTGCGGCTCTTGTGGTGAACGTGCGTACCCTGAGCCATCGCACCGGTAACAACGTGTGTGTCAACCGTTGATTTCGGTTGTGTCTTTGTGGACCGCTTCCTCACCCGATGCAACTTCTGTAGCCTTTTTCAAAGTTAGATCTATTTCAGTGAGCAGGCATTTCTGAATGGACGTGTATGTTAATCCAAACACAAACTTGTCCCTGAGGGATTCGTCTAGGCGATCACTAAAATGACAATGTTTAGCTAAGTATCAAAGTTCGGCAATGCATGTAGCTAGCAATTGACTCACACGCTCCCTCGAACTGAGCCGCCCCCCCTTACATTTAATCCTGGCTACGGCACTGCTTGCATTTGATTCCGTTTGTAAGATCGAAATCTTTCGGTGATAACGAGTGGTTTTGGTGAATAATGTTTGTGTAGAATGTCACATAGTTCAGCATAATCTTTGTTTCTTGGTAGTGTAAGCGCACAAAGATATACAACCAGTGTAAGCATTATCAATACTTTCTTCTCGTTGGCTATTCCGTTTGTGTCGATGTGCGCATCTAGCCACAACCACATTAGTGGTTCCGCATACGAGGTCCAATCTTCGGTTACATCATACGGTTCTAGGTTCACAATCATCGCCATCCTTAATTTATTGTGAACTTTGAACGTTCTATTCTATTCTCGTCACCAATTTGTGATGTCTGTGGGTTGATTAGGCTAGGTTGGGGCGGGTACATCTGGAGATCAAAACATTAAAATTGTTAGTGGTTGTCGTTTTATCTTGTTCAGAATGACATGAAAGTTTGGGATAATTACATCTAAACAACTTATTTTGTTGTTTTTAAGATGCTCCAATGCATTAGATGCACCCCAATTATTATTTAAAAGGAAACGATCTAAAAAAATTATTGCATAATAGCCCATCCCACTAACAGTTAGTGTTATGGGCTATTATGCAATAATTTTTTTTAGACCATTTCCTTCTAAATTGGGGTGCATATATGCTAATATATAGGCTATAATTAAGGTAGGCCTATATTATATACTGTGCCATAACTAAACAGCCTTCACTGTTACACAGACCTTTAGCTTATGCGGCATAGGCTGAGAAAAGGTGTGCCCTATATGTTGCAAAATACAGTAATTTTCATATAGTTACTACTATTAAGAGGACATAAACGCTAATTTATTAATTTATTGCATAAATGCTATTAATTTTGAATTTAAGGCAAATAAGTTATAAACAAACATGGTACTGTGAATAATGTTACGTGTGATAGTAGTATAAGTTATATAATGATTATTGTTTTGAAAGTAGGTTTTTAAGCGAGGAGGAGAAGCCGTTTAGTCATATATGTATATAATCTTTGCCTCAAATTTAAATTATGCAAGATTGCGAGTAATTGCATACGGGTAGGGCGTTCTAATGTGATGATGTTAATTGTTATGACGTCATGATGACCGATCCCTGCATGCAGGCAATTAATTTGTCACTTGCTGCAAAATTTCTCGGTATGTTACTGACAGTAAAACAACCAAATTGTATTGTTTTTCTAATTGATTGCTGTTGGGTCATTATTTTTCCATTATCAGTAGTAAAACACTTGCAGAATTTTGTCTAGTCGGATGGTTTAAATTTCTTTTCTAATTGATGTCAAGTCGTCTTAGTTGCTACATTACTTGTTACCAGCTGTAATAGTTTAGATTTTGTATTATGGGATTTGTTTACATTCCTCTATGAATCGATTAAGAATGACTATTGACATGTATTACTTGACTGAATGGTCATGAGTTTTATTGTATTGCATGTTTCACGTCTAACGTCAATAAAGATTGTAGCTATATATAGTGTTATTCATATCTATCTAACCTCGAATTAAATGGTTTCGCCTAGTCACAGTAGCATATTCAAATAGATAAGTCCGTGACAAAATCAACCGGCCATTCCCCTTTGATTCTGATATCTGCCTTCTTAGATGTAACTTGTAAGGAAATGGGTCTCCGCGAAGGCTAGTGAGCTCGTCAGGGTTGGCGGGTGGTAAAGGGAGAGAGGTGGAGGCGGAGTGAAGGGGAGAGGGAGGGCGGGAGAGAGAGAGAGAAGGGGGAGAGCGCGAAAGAGAGATGTATTTTATCTCCTCGTCATGGCTTCGTGCTTCATCTAGTGTAGTCACTTGCTCCTCCATTACAGTAATAGTATTATTTCGATTAGATTATCACAAATAAAACGGCGATGCGTATGCGGTGCGTTCATGCTGTAGACGTGATGTATCGTACGTTATCTGTGGTGATGTAGCTCCCTCCGTCTATCTCATGTCTGTGAGGCGAGGTACCGTATACTGACCTACAACACTACACACTACTCACGAAGACAGACGATCCAGAAATACTTCACACAAAAACTGATTATTGCGATCAGCCAACGCGCATCAGCTGGTACTATACTAGATACAATAATGTAACCCAAACCCTATCCATGCTAGTACCGGCGTACGCGCGCGCGCACACACACACACGCGCACGCACATACACACGCAGGCACGCACGCACGCACGCACGCGCGCGCGCGCACACACATATTGTGAAATATGCATACTCTGTGGAAAGAATACAGTTGTTATATGTGTTCTGAAAATCCCAACTCGGCTATTTTCGAAGACAGGTGTCCATGGATTCTTCAAGAATGAGTGGCTATAATGGCTATGCGGACGCCTTATATATATATATATATATATACGGTGAATTAAGCTGTGACAGTCGTACTAAGGCGCGTAACAAGCTACACACAACCAACTCGTAACAAGCCTACGCTCATACGTCAACCCAGACTTTATCACGAACCCCCACCAGTATCAAAATCTCCAATCTTTGTGATGGATATACCAACCCACATTGTCACATAGCCCACTCGATATTTGATAGTTGATATTTGATATTTGATACTCGATATCCCACAATAGTGCTCGATATCCCACAATAGTGCTTGCGACAATTCTAGGCATGTGTTGCGCGATAACTAATATTATAACTTATTCTGACGTCAACGCTCACGTTGTAACACAATCCTCCTTGTCACGTATAGCTCTCACTACTCAATGTCCG